TTTTAATTTGTAAAGTCAATTTTTTTTAATACTTGTATGGTTAATGAGTGTTTATGAAAGGGTGTGTATGAGTGAGATGGAGAGAAAAAAGGAAGAAAGAATGGGATCCTGTATTTTGTTGTAATTAATTAAGTACCCTATTTTTTCTAGTCTTAAGATACGGTTATTTAAACGTTTTGTATATAATATATATATTTAAAAATATAAATGTCTGCATATATGACTGACAAAAAAGCGCCTCATTGTGGCAATTTGTGAAAATTGCTCCCATGCCTGTTTGTTATAATTGTTGTAAGCAGTATGGAATATTATTAAATTATTATTTATGTCTCTGTGTTTTAAATTACAACGCCCTTAAAGTTTAGAAGTTTTGATGTGTAGCATCTTGCTATTTGGTTATGGGCCTAACTTCATGCTTCATAAAAATGTAGAGGGAGAAACACACGCTTTTTATTTAAAGCTGTCTACAATTGACGATTGAAGAGAGAGACAAGGGAAAATATTATATACAATACAAAATAATTGGTTTTAAAAACGTATCCATACTAGTAACCCGTTAGGGGGATGGGGTCTTCAAAAATACTACGCTTGTTCACAGGAAGGGGGAAGGGCTTAAGTTTTCGTCTCGTAGTCAATATCGTCTAGGGAGGTACAGAATGGTATAGAAAGGTAATAATGATCTAAAACCGTGTTTTTGAATTACTACTAGAAAAAAAACTAGAGGGGGAGGGTGGGTCTTGGCGTATATTACGGGTGGTTGATGAGGGGGGGGGTAAAAAATGGGTCACGTAGTATGGGTACGTTCCCTTATTAGTTTCATTTGATTTGTCAATTATTATCAGTGTTACTGGTTACAAAAATGGAAGCTCAAGTAATCAAAAAAATATAGTTTTCGTAGAAAAAAACAGTAATATAAAAGTGTTTCTTGGAGAGCAAAAATAACAACTGTGTAAGTGTTAAAAATAATGTCTTTTAAACGACTTAGCAGTGCAGTATGGGAACTACGAACAAAGTTTAGGTAAGTAATAAAGCAAATACTTAGATAAGGGGTCATAATACATTCTCAAAGGATTATTGAAGAATTACACAAACTAAGACATTATTTAAACGCACTTCATTTCTCTTTATTGTGATTTGTTACCAAATTAACTATTTTCTATAGTTTTATAAGTATACGAATTGTGGTAAATTACTGCAATTTTGTGCATCTTTATCCATTACCTTCATTAGGAAAAATTATAAGTTGGTTTTTGGGGAATCCCAAAAGAAAATATTTTTAATGCAGTATTTTTTATTGTAAAAGTTGAATTTTTAGATTAAAGAATAAATGACAAACACGATTCATTTATAGATGTTATTACTTGCATGGGATTTTGTTTATTCCTTTCTGTTTTTAAATTATAAAATATAAATTTTTGAAGTAAGATCTCCGAAAATTTATGCAGTACGTACATAAAATAAAATAGATTTATAATAAGGNGCTTTTTTAATAACACCATTATTTCGTGGAAATGTTTATTTTAAAATAAGGGATAAAAATAAATAAAAATCGACTTTCTAACGTCACTAATTAATCACAATACATATGTACATAGGTACAACACTCATTTAGTAGTGTGTTTTTTTTTGTTTCTATAAATTAACCTGTAGGTACAACGAAATGGTATTTAATAAATATTTCATGCAAATAGGCATGTAGGTCTTATAATATAATCGTTCTTTCTTTTTATTATAAATATATAGAAAATTTGTACTAAAGGTATTATCGACTGTCTAAATTCTTCACTATTACTTATTTCTATTTAAGAATTTCACAATCAGTGTTTAATTTTTGAAGACATACCTAATTAAACATTGTACATACTGTATTTTTTACGTGGAATATTTAAAATGCATATATCACATTGAAACAATAAGAAAAATCTATCGTTGAATGTCGACCTTTATTCTATAGGCACGGCCCACGGATGTTCAATGTGTCCATATTGGATGGCCAGAAGCCTCTTCCTTATTTTTACAAACAAAGGTAGTTTCTGTTCCACTGTAGGAATTCGTATAAGTTGTCCTTTGTAATATATAGAGTCTACAGGGCATATTGTGCAAGCTGTACCGGTTCCAAACATTTCCAGTAACTGAAAATTAATAAAAATTAAAAAGGATGATGCCATATTTGTATAGTAATGCGTGCGTTTTATATATACGGTTATGGGAACGATACGTAATATTAGAAAAATCCCTAGAACAATTGTAGATATTATGGGAAAATCTGAAACATTTGGAGTTTTCGTGAATTAAAATTTCATATAGTAATGGCGTTAGTCGCTTGACTAAATTATATAAAAGAGAACAAACTTTTCTGTTGCTCTTAAGTCATAAGAAGTTTGAGATTCCTAGATTGTTATTTGCTGAAGTGTAACTTAGTCTTAAGACTGGTTGGACACGCACCTCCACTCCTTTCTATCCTAAGCTAATTTTCGCATTTCCCTAAAATTGAAACATCCCACATCCCTACCTCTACCCCTCCTAACTCCTGTTTCTGCCTCTAATATGTCTCTGACTAGACCTTCATACCTGAGAAGGTGTCCTATCAACCTATCTCGCCTATTTTCTATTGACTTACATACAGTCCTCTGTTCTCCTATTCTTTAATACCTAATACCTCACATTTTGAACGCTTCTAACTATTTTCCACCGCGCATACCGTCCATGTTTCGCACCCGTACAGCGCCGCGCTCCAAACATACACCTTTAACAATAATTTTCGAATTTCTAAATTAATCGTTAGCGAGCATAAAAGTGACTTTTTTTATTGAAGGCGACTCGACCCTACGCTACCCTCTACTTTATATCCCTACTGCTCCTTCCAACCTGACTTATCTGACTTCCTAGATACCTAAAATCAGCCACTTCTTCTAATCTTTCGTCTCCTATCGTTACATTCGCTCTTTCCCTACTTTTTCTTCCCTTGCATACCACTATTTTTGTTTTACTTTTATTTATTTTCATACAATACTGTTTTGTCAATATCGCTTCCATTCGGAAAACTTCTTGACTTGATTAGATGGACACTTACCCTGTTTTTTCTGACCAGTTTAATCATTTCATCCATTGTAACTGGTCTTTCTTCTATCCTAAAGTCACCCCATTCCTCGCAAATCTCTATTACGGACTGCCTGATGATTCCCGGTAAAATTAGTCCATTCAGCGGGGGAGTGGCAAGGACCCGCTCTGCAATCATACGTCTCATGCTAAGAAAAATCATTAAAAATCACAAAACAGGAGTCATGATGCTTACCACCCAGTTCATTGACGTAGAACAAGAATATGTTCATGGTCCCCGCTTCTGTTATTTGTTGTTCCTTCCCGTACAACCACAGCGTTTGTTGGCAACCGTGGCGTTGTGCCATTTGATTTACTCTTATCGTAGGACCGTAATTCGCCCCCATCTTTCGGTCCCCACAACCCCCTGGCCATGCTCGGGTAAATGCTGGATCAGCGAAAAGACGGACGGCACCACCAAAGTAATGTCCCACAGGACAAAGTATTGTGTATAATAGGGCGGAGTTGGACGACATCACTCCTAACGTTCCCTACGAGAAGGAATTAATAGTAGGATTATGATTCGAGAAGGGATTATTGTGAATGGGTCTGTTTAAAAAAATTAACTAAAATTACTCAAGGGAGTGTCAAAAAACATTCAGTAAATACGAAGCCCATGATAGTTTTCCTGTTATCAACCACCTAATAAGCGTGTTAATATTAAAGAAAAAAATATTTTCGGAATCTTTGAACGTATGATACTTTGCACCCTCATTAAGAATTATGTCAAGTATCATATCAGGAACACCTACGTGACAAGATACAATGGTGTCCAAAACTTAAAACAGAAATTTTATTTGCAAAAATTGAATTTCTGAAATTAACTTAAAAGGTTTGAATAATGAAAAGTTTGCAATAATAAACTGTTGTTAGTTTATAAGCCAAAAATAATAATTTTAAATATTTATTTATGCATAGTTATCAGTAGTAGTAATCAGCAATTTTTTATATACAAATCAGAAAGATGGTCTACTTTTGGGAAATAAAAGTAAAAGTAAAAATAAAATAAAAAAAAGTTTAAAAATTCACAAAAAATATCATTTTGACAAGTTTTATAAAAAAAGAAACCAAATACAATTTTCCATAATTCTTGGATCCCACTTCTAATAAATATGTTTGTCAAATAAAAACGTGTTGAAATTGTGTAATATTTCTTTACAATTTTATTTATTTTTAATTTTGTTGATTAATCAAAATACTAGGTACATTGATTTTGTCATTAAAATATGGCTTGGTTCTAATTATACCCACGTTTCAATCTAAAAATTATGTAGTAAATAATATAATAAATATATATTACTTATATGCGCTTAGAGTTACACCAAAAAAGAGAAGTGTTTTCCATTTACGTATTGTTTTAATATTAATTTATCGAATTGTTGTTACATAACAAATTGATTTTATTTATCAAAAGTGTGTAAATAAGTTTTGTAATGGTGAAGGTCTTACTCCTAATTAATAAAAATCATTTGATTTATTTTACGTAATCTTATAATGTAAGTGTTTTAGGGGAAACACTTAGTTGTTTTTTTACTGCTAAATTCCATAATTTTTTGTATTCGTGAAGTTATGAGTAATATTCTTTTTTTTTTTTAATTTAGGGAAGTTTAGAAGTACATTTAAAGGTTTTATTTCCTCCTGAATGCTGATGCAATATTATATTAAGGTTAACTGATGTAATAGGACTACATGGTGACTCTTAATGTCAGTTAGTATACTGATTAGATAACTAATTAGTTACCATTACCCGACTCAATGATTTTTCGTGATGTGATAATTTTTGTGATAAAATGGTTACAAAAAAATATTCGATTTATTATTATATTAGCGTAGGGTAATTAAAAAATTTCATCTTTCTTCCTTTTTAAGTTCGTTTTTATTATTAATGCAACGTGAAAAGTGTTTTAAAAAAATTTAAAAAAATTGCCTATGTCCCTTCTTCAAGATTGCTCTAAGTGGGAGGGGGGGGTGACCAAAATGATTACCAACTAATTGATTGTCGCACTCATCTCTGTCTACTTCAACTTCAATTTATAATTTAAGGGTATCTGCCGCTATCACTTGGTGAAACATGATTCAAGATTAAAAATTAAATCAAAAAAACTCGGGAATTTCACTTAGAACTCGATTCGCCTTATAAGGGCATCTTCAGGAGTAACAAAAACTATACTGTATACAAAAACTATATTGCATAGTTTTTGTTACGTATCGAGTTTTTAATAAAGTTTTAAGTGAAATTCCCAAGATTTTTTTTGATTTAATTTTTAATTTTTAATATTCAAATTATAATTTATACTTACATCAGTTCCAATCAAAGTAGGACGAATGTAGAGGCTAGACGATTCATAATGAGGTACCCATTCTTGATCGACGACAATCAATCGATTTATGCATTTGATCAATTCGTTGCCATCGAATGTCGGTAGGCCGGCACTTTCGGCTGAATTATTCATTCGGTGCATGTTTAAGTCCGGCCTGAAGACGCGAATTCTGCCATCAGCACCCCTGTATGCTTTCATACCTTCAAAAAGCTGCAACAAAGTGAGAATAGTTGAGAACAATTTGAATATAGACCAGCAGAATTAAGTCACTTGATGTTAAAAATATGCAAATAGTTGCTGTAGAGATTTTCTTGCGACAGTGTAAATTTGGAAAGCAGAAAGTTCTCTCTCCAACAAAATGAGAAGGAAAAAGAACTTTTGGGTGTTTTATTCCGAAGTTATGAAACGAAATGAAGGCAGAAGAGAGTGAAAGATTAACTGTGGAGTTTTGTTGCTCTAGCATTTTCCTAAGTGATCCAAGGAAACCAGAGAAAAACTTGGACCAAGGCAGACGTATCCAGAATCGAACAGGTATCCTCCTGAATGCTAAGAAATGATCTAATCCAGGCCTTTTTAAATTATGGGTCGCGACCCCAAATGGGGTCGCGTAACAAAGTTCTGGGATCGCGACAAAATTTTAATGTCAAATATTTAAATATACGATTTTATAACATCTAGATGTGTATTTGTTTTTTTAATTTTATTGATCTTTCTTTTATATTTATATGGGGTCGCCAGGAAACTCGCAATCATAAATGGGGTCGTGAATGAAAAAAGTTTAAGAAGCCCTGGTCTA